ACTACTACCCTGGTTCATTAAAGTTATTTCTAATCTTTTAGCCTCCTAATTCAAGAATTTTGTGTCGACTTTGACCCACCTTTAATCCATTTTTGGAATTTATAGTTAAAATTTTCAATTTGTAAATCTCATCATTACCACCCAATTTAAGATCTGTCAAAGGTTTCCCTTTATTCCAGGCAAAGAACCTACTTCTTTACCTGGCCTTTGGGCCCTGAATGGTCTGGTCACCATGCAGCTTCATCATCCTCAGTTGTTGCTCCAGCAGTACTGTACTTCTTTTAGTCCCTTATAGAGTGACAATGTAACTTATCATCCAAACCAGAACACTTCTGAAAGTAAAAAAAGGCCTATCCTTGGCAAACTGGGATGTAAGTTGATATTATCTCTCTGGCCCCCGAATTTTTGCCATGTTGTTACCGTTTACCTGTTACGAAGCTCTTCACTTCCCTTTTATCTAATCCACGTTAAATTCTTAGTTCTCATGGTTTGCAAGGCAGAAATAGAGACACAGATGTAGCGTACAAACGTATGGACACCAAGGGGGGAAGCGGGGGTGGGGGGTGCGGTGGGATGAATTGGGAGATTGGGATTGACATGTATACACTGATGTGGATAAAATAGATAATAAGAACCTGCTGTATAAAAAAATAAAATTCAAAAAAAAATTCTCAGTTCTCAGATGTCACTTCCTTTAGGGAGACTTCTGGGACTAGGGTTCTGAACTGTGAATTCTCACGGCACTGTTTCTTCATACCATTTTTCTCAGTTATGATTTCCAAGTGTGACTGTTTCTTGCACTAGACTTTAACTCTTGAAAGTGTCTGTGTTTGCTCTATTATAACCCTCCCTCCCCCACCCCTGTAGAATGCCTGGTATGCAATGTATTGAATAAATGTGGATATAATGCAATGGGAAACAGAGTCTGCTCAAGGAGCTCACAATGTAATACGGAAACAAATGCTTTATTACAATGTAACGATATGCTGTATTTGCAGAATACAAAATTTCCTAAAAGGGAAATGAGAGAGCTGCATGACATGTCTCGTAGGGTTTTGGCACAATTTGTCAGTGTACTCAACAGCTATTGATTTACTTACATCTAAAATAAAATGATTCATAAGACAGATGGACTATATCCATTTACAGTGATACTGATAACATTCCCAAAGACCTGGAGAAATGTATGGCTGGAGTGTCAAGTGTCTGCTAGGAATGATGGGATGCAATGCTGGAATCATATTGTGAACAAAGTAATTAAAATATTATGTATGCAAATATATGTGGTACACTTAAACATATGTATTTGAAGCAGGGGAGTGATATCACTAGATTTCAAATCTGAAGGAAGCCTATAGGGTGACCTGGAGGGAAAGGTGTAGGGAATAGAACCTAAGTAAACAAAGTAGTGGGGATTAAGGAGAAAGGCTGAAGACAACATACATGAGGTAAAATGGACAGTAAACAAAGGATTTGGGGGAGAGGAAGGAATGATACATCATCAAGGCACCAATCTGATATTTTGAGGTTAGCTACTTAAACAACACTTTTCCCCATCTGCACACTTAATTTTTAAGTGAAATCTTTGTATCCACTTCAATACCTATTAGATTTTATACACAGTTGCTTCTTAGTATCATCTCTAAGAGCTTTACAGCTGAAATTTTACTTACTATGATTTAAGAATTTATCAGTAAAAATCTCCAAATACAGTGGCCATAAACAAGGTGGATGAGCTGTTGGTGGTTATCAGAACAATCTAGTTTTTCCAAACACTGCTTAGAACCTAGAAATTGTGCATTTCAGAAAGGGAGTGTTCAGCATGTGTAATTAGGAAAAACTTTCCAAGGTGACTGACTCCTGTCCCTGCCCAACACTGGGAACCACAGCTACTCTCCTATAATTTTTAAGATCAAGAAAATAGAAAATGTACAGTAAATTTTCACTATAAGGTGACTTGGGATTTCATGGGTTCTGTTTATAGCAGACTTTGTAAATTTAAGTATCATATCTGGAGGACTCTTTCTCTGTTTGGCAAAAACCCGGGAAATGATGTCATAGATTGAGATTCTAGAGTATTTTAATACTGTCCTGATCGTTTTAGCAGCTTTTTGTATACAAATCCTCTAGGCAACAAGAACATAATTATGGAATTAAAATACTATCTTGGCATCCAAAATGTTAACAGAAAAGCAAGAGTTGTTACTGTCTTTATGCTGCACATCTCACAATTCTGGGTAAGCGGTTTTCAATCTATTCCCACCTAAGGATACCCATTGGTAACTAGTCCTAGTAGAGCATGTCAGAATTAAGAACCTATAAAGTGCTGTCCCAGATTTTGTAAAAGTAATATTCTTTCCAAAGAATATGAAATTTCCCAAATGGAAAATCAGATAGTAATAAAGACCTCCTGGTTGATGTTAATTTTCAGGGATTTTTGCTATTCATGTGTTCAGATTATTTACTGTTTGTCTATTGTTTTCAGTAGACTTTTCAAAACATAGACATACAGTTTGTTTAAACGAAGTGAAACTGAGAATTTACCTATGCAGATAAAATATGGTCAAAAAATATTTTTGTCTTATTTATCAACTGACTTTTAAAAAACTGAACTGGTAAGATTTTTCAATTTTCCACTTACCTTGTATTTCTCCACAGTCTCAATAGTCATTCTAAAATCCTGTGAAGTCATAAAGTATATTATAATTTTACCAGAAATATAAGTCTCCAAGGTTCAATATATTATTACAAATTTGGCAAGGTTTTTTTTTGTCTGCAAAACAAGTGTCTCAAAACTATACATAGCATATCACATCCAAACAGCAACTCAGTTTAAAAAGGTGCTTTCAAAAAACATATAAAACAGATTAAGTCAATACAGTAATCATTTTTTGGTGAGGTAACAAAATGCAATATGGTTATAATTGAAGACTTTATTATCTGAATCACACTTCTGATTACAAAATTCTTTACCTGCCATGTTTTCCTCGGGTTTTTATTTTTTACTTACCACTCTAGTAATCCAATAAATAAATTAGTCCGAGGAACAGGAAGTTCCTATTATCAAGGCACCTTATCATAATTTTATAAAGCACAGTATTAAAAATTAGCACTTAGTTTCTAAGGACTTCAGAGATGAATATTTGAAAGATCTTTTTATTCCTCACAACCCAGAATTATAGCTATTTAATAACTAGGATAAAAAAAGAGGCTGAGCATAGATCATTTTGCAAACTATGGTGGTGTTTCATTTTGTTTCACTATTCATTGACCACAGACATACTCATTTTTTTCGAGAGACTGTGTCTACCTGTTTGCCTTCCCCTACTCCCCAAGGGTGAGTATACCTTTCCATATAATAAATACATATTTGGTGTTATGTTTGGAGATCTTTTTGAGGGCTCGGAACAAACTGTTTAAACAGACAGTAGACTAAAACTTGAATATTTCCCACATGTGAAAATAATTATTTTGGGAATGAAGCTACCGCATTCAAACTCATTTGACTTGGAAGGCAGTCCTTTACATCAGATCAAATAACTGAAGAATGGGATTAGAAAGTTTCAGAAATTATCATTAACCTGGGCTGACTCAAGACTGATCTGTGGACGAGAAAAATAATGAAGTGTAAAATAATTCTGATTTAAAAAAATGGTTTAAAGGAGAGAAGCGGAACACTCTCGTGCTTGAAAAGATAGTGTTTCTTTGGACAGATCTAAAAGGTTGTAACTGAGGCCCGCAGTTACAGTTATGAAAGAAACCATCAACTAAGTTGCAGTACGCTAACCTGCGACAGTTACTAACGTCTCTCGCGTTGCATTTTTTGTAGTGATTTGGCACCGCACCCTCCACCAGCCCTTCAGGAAGCGACCTGGAAACGTTCTACACGTTTTATTCCTGAACCGGGCACGGGCTACCCACAAATGAGTCAAGAAGGGTCACAGGGTGTCAACAACTCGGTCTCTGTTTTCTCTCCGCCTCCTCAGGTGCCCGGCTCGCACCTCCCTTAGGGAGCCTTTGTCTCAGGTCGCCTAAGCGTAGGAGGCGGCGGGAGGTGACCACAGTGGCCCAACAGTTGGGTTCCCAGGCTGCCTGGTGTGACGCAGCATTCCCCTCCCCGCCTCTCCAGACAGGCGCTCAGACCCGGCGCGGGGCCGAGGCCTGGGCTACCGACCCCACGTTCGACCCCGCCCCCTCGGCTTATCCAACACAGCCCTTCCGCGGCTCCCCAAGCCCCATCAGTCTTCAATATCTCCCCACCCCTCTGTTTCCCTAGTTCCTTCTCGGGCTCTCGGTTGTGACGTCCTTACGCAACCGTCCCGAGTGACACTAGCGTCCATACCCGCAAGGAGCGAGCCTGCAGCTCCCACTTCCCGGAATTCAACTCCGGGCCGCTAAGGGAGGGAACCCGAGCAAGACTCAACGGCCCACCACGGTAGCCAGAGTCCGGCAGCCTCTGCGCGGCCGGCGTGCGCGTTCCCATCAGTGCGCGTGCGCGCGCTCGCCCTCCGCCCCGACACAGCACCAATCGTCTTCTTCCTACGCCCCACGACTCCAAAACGTAGCCCCTCCCACTGTCCGCGCGCCAGTTGGTGGAGTTCGGCGTGCGCGCGCCCGCTTGCCCGCCTCGCGCCCAGTGGGGAAGGGGAGTGAGCCGAACAGCTTACGTCGCGCGGGAGGCGGAGGCAACGGCTATCTCTGTGGCGGCGGCGGCGGCGGCGGCGGCGGAGGCGCCTACGACGGAGACGGTTGCGCTAGCTCTCTCGGCGTCATGGCGGCTGCCGGGAGCCGATAAGCGGCGGGAGCGGGGGCGCGCGCGCGGCCGCGGTGAAGACGACGACTCGTTACTTCTTGCTTTTGCTGACCTCGCCGTTGGTGCTTTAATAATGAATTGATTGTTGGATCCGCTCCGCAGGGGATAGCGCATTGGAGCCGCGGGCCGGGGCTTCCCCTTCTCCTCCGCGTCCTTCCCCTTCCCTCTCGCCCTCACGGACTCCTGCTTACCCCGAAACCCCCGGAGCCCGAGGACTCTTGGCGGCGGAGACCGCGGGCCCGGGCACAGGGGAGGCCGCCGATCGAGTGGGCTCTCTCCGCCCCGCGAAGCCTGCACGCCCGCCGGTAAGAAGGGGGTCGGCGGGCGGGTCTGGATGTGGCGGGGAGGACGGGAGCTGGCCAGGCGGAGGGCGGGGGCGGCGCGGTGCCCGGGCGGCGGCCCAGCGGCCGGGCGCCGGGCATAGGCCGGGGCGGTCTGAGAGGGCCGGCGGCGGCGGATGGACTCGCCGCTCAGGGGGCGTGTGAGTGGCGAGAGCAGGCCGGCGCCGAAGACCGCATCCTCTCTTCGGACGGGCGTGCAGCTGGCGGTCGAGACCGGGCTTCCTCGGCCTGGGGCAGGCCGGGCCGCGAGGGGAAAGCTGCGAGAAGCTGGCTATGCGCTTGGCCGGTGCGTGGGTCCCGCCGCCACCCGGGCTCCCAGCACGTGGGGAACGGCGGGGAGGGGGAGGGGGCAGCAGCCCGGGCGAGCCCAGGAGGGCGCGGGGTGGGTCTGTAGGAAGTTTGAGGCGGGAAGGGAGACTCCGGGACCGAGATGGAGGCCCTGGGAGGGATGGGAGTGGGGGGGTTCGTCCGGGTGGCAGGCTGATTGGAGCGAAGCTGCGACGGACGGGGGAGGAAGGTTTCCAACCTCCTTTCGAGAACCGCTTGAAAACTTAGCAGGAGGAAAGCAACTGATAAAAGACGGGGCAAAGAAAAGGCGAATTGAAGAGGTTTAACGATTTAGGAAAGAATCATTGTTAAGACGAGTGAAAGGCAGGAGAGAGCTGCGGGTGCTTGGAGCTTCAGAACTTACGGTTGTAAGAAGGGGCTCAGAAAGAGGACTTAACTCTGAGAAGGAAAATGAGGAGGAGAAAGGAAGTTACAAAGTACAGAGAAAGCCATTTTGAGGGGCGAAAGGGAGGTGAAAAGGAAAGAACGAAAAGAGGAGTGAACTTTCTCAATGAAGAGAGACTTTCGGGAGAGGCAGTTTGTTAGAGTACCTAGATTTTTAAGATCTAATTGTTTAATAGTTAATCTCTTTGGCTAGTTGGAATTAATATTTAACATTAGGAATAAATGTTGCGTGAAATAATATTTAGATAACAATTCTTGCTAAGTCTACTGGACTGCAGTTTCTGGATTATTAAAATCCCGATCTAGATGCAGAGTTTGCTATGATTAAGTTGGCAGCAGCCTATTTCCCCTCTCTTTTTTTGTGGAATGGAAATAATCGTAGGAGTAAATTCTCTTTGCTGAGGTCGGAGGACAGCTCTGCTCTCAGTCGTCTGTCTCGGTACTTTCTGGCTGGGGAAGGATCTGACGTCTCCTTCCCCCGCTTCTTCCTCTCCCTCCCCTGCCAGAGATCTCCTTTGTTTATTAGTGGGTGGCTTGTAGGTGACTCTCCAGTGTTGTGCTGATATGTTGAAAGGTGGAAATGTTGTATCTTGGTCCATGATTTCTGCCCCAAACCCCCTACTTAAAAGATCATAGTGTATATTCTGTTACCTTTTTCCCCCGGAGGAATCTCTGCATGTCCAAACTGGATATATATACTGTATTACTTAAACTTAAAACTGCGCTATCGGTTTACCTGTGAAAGGACACATTTATTTTGACCTGTACATTTTTTTGGCTAAGATTATATGATACACTTTTACTCTCCTGTTCTCATGTGAGCATTTTCAACACTTCCCCTCGCTCTGGTATACGAAGTCCTTCGTGATAGGAATTAGTGCTTGGTTAAGGTAACCTTTTTCCCCCTTATTTCATTTGTTTGGCCAAGTATCTAATAAGACTATTTTCTATTCTTGGAACGTATGTATATGTTATATACTACCATTTTGCTTTAGTTTTTTGTCTATAATGTGTGGTATATACACACGGTTGCAATTAGTCTAAAAGTTCTATCACTCCACAAATATTTTAATTTTTTCTGTCAAAAATAAGCAGCGGTGTGCTAAATTCTAGTAAGTAGTCAAGAATGTAGTTAATAGAAGCCTAGGTATTTTGAGAAAAAGACCCCTACCCCTTCCTTACCACCTCTAATCTAGTTGGCCTAGATAGATTTGTATAAGTTCCAAATAGACTTATTTATCTCTTTGTCTACCAGGAAATTTTCTCACTTTCTTAATTTTTTTTTTTTTAGGTGAGTCAAAGGGTCCCAGGAAACCTGTGAATGTTGAAGAAAATTCATCTGTGAATTTTTGATATTCAAAGAGGAGTCAGTATTTATATTCATCTTTTAAACTGGGAAGATTTATATTTTATTTTAAAACTTCTTGATATTTACAATGAATGGACACAGTGATGAAGAAAGTGTTAGAAACAGTAGTGGAGAGTCAAGGTAAGTACTTTATTATCAAGTTTTTATTATGAAAACAGTTGAAAACTTATGTGACTCTTTTTAGTTTTTCTAATAGGTGGCAGAGTTTTCAGATTCAGATTCACTGTTAGCTCTCCAAACATTGAAAAGTTTCTAATAAATAAAGCTTTGTTGAAAATACAGAATTTAATTATTTTTTTCCATTGAGATGCACAAAGAGAAATTTAAATATAGAAAGTTTGGGATACTTAAATCTCTTTGGAGGTCTATATTGTTTGGGTTAATAATTGAAACTAGAGCAAGTAAAGGAAGACATTTAAATTGATTTGACTGTTACTGCACTCTCCAAATAAAGGCAATAAGAATTTCTTTACTCATTTTTTCTGGCATTTTGTCTTCTATACCTGTGCTGTCCAGTGTAGTAGTCAGTAGCCACATGTGGCTATTTAAATTTAAATTAGTTAAAATTACAAAATATTCAAAATTCAGTACTTAGTCACATTAGACACATTTCAGGTGCTGAACAGTCACATGTAGCTAGTGGCTACCGTGATGAATAGAGAAAAATTGAAAACATTTCTATCATGGCAAAAGTTCTTTTGGACACTGCTGATCTGGACATTTGTTAGAGTATTGCTGCAACACTTTTTTCCCCCATTACCTTTTCAAATTTGAGTTTTAATTATATATGACTGAGTTAAGAGTTCTTACGTGGGCCATGTCTTTGCAAAGAAGATATGGTTTATGGGAGTAAGCCATGTTAAGCTATTTTAATGTGTAAGAAACCTCTTCAAATACAAAGACTTTTAAATTCTTCTGTAGCCCCCCAGTTTTAAGTTACCAGCCACGTTAATAATGCAATCCCATGTAGTTACATATGCTTATCATTATATGCTTATCATATAGAGAGGTCAGGAATATGGACACTGGGGTCAGACTGCCTGATTACTTACCCAGTTGTACTTATTAGCTGTGTGAATTAGGGCAAATTTTTTAACCTCTGAGACTTAGATTTTTGTATTTATAAAATGGGGATTATAGTATTATTTATCTTATTTAAAGTTGAGGATTAAATGAAATGCTACCCGTAAAGGTCTTAAAATAGTTCCTGCTATAATGAGCACTCTATATTATTATAATTAGCATCATATTTTATATAACCTAGAATATTACATAACTGAAACATTAATTACAGTGATGGAGAAATGTGAAGGACAAGGAACAGGAAAGTTTTGGCAGTTAAGAGGGCTTCAGGAAAATGTTGGATAGAAAATGAAGCAGTGGAATATGTATTTGACCTGAGGCTTGGGATTTTCTGGTTATGCTAGGTATACTTTATCAGTTTCACAGGCAGACTGTTTGGATAACAAGAACATCATAGAAAACAAGGAGTAGTTATGGGAAGCAGAATGATTTAGTAGAACAAGTATTGGTCTAGGAGTTACAAAACCTGAGTTGACCTGTCTCTGCACTAACTTGTTCTCTGAATGACTTCTGAACTGTAAAATAAGGAGAGTTGAATTAAATGATTTTGAAGTTTCATCCTACTACTTAATATACAAAGTATTTAACAACAGAGTTTAACTGGAAACGCCAAAGTTGAAGGGCTAAACTAGAAGACCTTTGAATTTCAGCTTTGATTCCAATCTCTACAGGTATATTGACTGGAGTAAGTTAATAGGAGAGTCACATTGTCCACATTCTCTTGTTCATTGGTGAACAGTGAAATGGTTAATAGGTAGAAATATCTAGGGGAAACGCAGGAGCCTAACTACCCACGAAATAGGAAATAAGATTCTTGAGAGTAAATCTTCTGGTTGAGCATGTAGAGAGATCACATGCTGTTATATTCTGACCCCTTACCTTTTCCAGTAATCTTTTACGTATTTTGCTGCCATATGTAAAGCAAAGGGGGAGTCTTAAATCAAATTTGATATAGTAGAGATGAAAAAAAATTAAACCCTGTGAAATCAAATTTACTTGAATCTTTTACAATGCATACTCATTTTAAATAAATGCAATGTATATTCTCTAATTATTCTGAGTCATTATTTCTACCATATAGGTTTTATGTACTTCTTAGAATTGTGGCTGTCAGGTTATCTAGTTCTTGCAACTGCCTTGGTGTTTATCTGAAGAAGGGAGACCTGCTTCTGTTTTCCTTTCATTTTCTTCCTTTCTGCTGTTACGCTGTCCTTTTCCTTTGCTCTACCGTAGTTACTAAGCCTCAGTACCCCCATACCAGAAGCTTTCATAACAAGGCAGTACAGAGAAGGGAGATTGTGCCTAGTTAAAAGAGTGAGGTGAACTTTATAGATACAGGGATTTTCTTGCAAAAACCAAAAGTCACCATAACTATGAATATTAATATAGAGTGATGAGGGGAGAAATATGCTTTTTTTTTAAATAAAGCACACATCTTTTTTTTAATTAATTTTTTTTTTTTTTTTTTTTTTTTTGGCTGTGTTGAATCTTTGTTGGCTTTCTCTAGTTGCAGCAAGCGGGGGCTACTCTTTCTTGCAGTGCGTAGGCTTTTCACAGCGGTGGCTTCTCTTGTTGCGGAGCACGGGCTCCAGGCGCCCGGGCTTCAGTAGTTGTGGCACATGGGCTCAGTAGTTGTGGCTAGCTTGCTCTAGAGCGTGGGCTCAGTAGTTGTGGTGCACAGGCTTAGTTGCTCCGTGGCATATGGGATCTTCCTGGGCCAGGGATTGAACCCGTGTCCCCTGCATTGGCAGGTGGATTCTTAACCACTGGGCCCCCAGGGAAGCCCTATGCTTGTTTTTAAAATTGATATGTGCTGTAGAATTTGATTGTTATTGGCTAGAACTTTTACATGTATTTTTGCTTCAGATTTCCTTTTTTTCCTTCATGGAAATTTATGAAACGAAGTAGAATTAAGCAAGAAGTCATTTGGCATTTTTAGTTGGTATGATTAGCTTTCTACTCAAAAGTGTCTGTTTTGCTTCTTTTGATGTGAAAACCTTTCCATAACCATTGACAGAAAGGAAGAAGAATACACAGGAGAATGTCTCTTTGGCTATGTTATAACTGACAATTTTGAAACTTATTTACTAAGAAACGTGTGTCAGGATGCACCTGTACCTCAGTTTCAAGTTAGCACAGAGTTTATTATATAACTGAAGTTAAGCTTTCTGAAGATACTATTGGAAGATTTCAAAGCATCAGTTCCCAGCTCTCTAGATTTCTGTTGTTAATTGTAATGAAGTTTTTCAAAGCCTGGTTAGACATTTTTTATTTTAAAGTTAACTTGAATGATGATTTGCTCCAGAAATAGATTTGTGGGTAAAGACCATAAATACATGGTTACATTTTACTAATTTTTGTACGATTGATAAATGCTTAATACTCAGAAGTAATTTCTCTGCTTGCCTGTAGATTAAATTTTCAATAATGTAAATTTGCCCACGTAAATTTGAGAATTTATTTTAATTGTTTAGTCTATATAGTATGCTTATGAAAAATTATCACAGAGTGAAGGAAATTTTGGTGATGTGTTATGACAGTCTTACCTACTTAGAATTGATCTAGAGCTGGCAACTGAGCTATATTGACCTGATTCTAAAAGAATTTTTTTAAAAAATTATTTATTTATTTATTTGGCTGCATTGGGTCTTAGTTGCGGTACGCGGGATCTTCATTGCGGCGCGAGGGCTTCTCTGGTTGTGACATGTGGGCTCTAGAGTGCATGGACTCAGTAGTTCTGGCACAGGCTCTCTAGTTGTGGTGCACGGGCTCAGTAGTTGTGGCACACAGGCTTAGTTGCCCTGCAGCATGTGGGACCCTAATTCCCTGACACGTATCGAACCCATGTCCCCTGCCCTGGAAGGTGGACTGTTAACCACTGGACCACCAGGGAAGTCCCTAAAAGAATTCTTTTCCTTGATACATTTTAGCTTTTTATAGCATTAACAGTGCTTGACCTAATATACTTATAAATATGTTTTAAATATATATGTGTGTAAATTTTATATTTACTTAGAGGAGCTCTGTTGCAATTAAATTTCCTTGGCTTACTGAAAATATTTTAATTGTTTTAAGCTTCAAGAATCTTTGGGTCTCAACTTTTGAAGTGTTTTGAGTAGGCAGTGAGTAGGAAATATGATCAATGGA